AAAAAAAGAAAAAGAAAAAAAAAAAAAAAACCCGCCCCTTTTACTTTTTTACTAAAAAGACGGAAGGAAAAGCAAAAGCAAAAGTTTATTCTATAAGTCATGCCGGTCATGATTCTTCTTCTCAGTTTAAACTACGCTGCTTTCCCTGGCAGCTGCATATAGATCTGGACTGAGCGAGTACATGACGAAACGAGGTATAAAAGAAAGCTAAAAAATATGAAATCTTAAATGAAATCTCACACTAGTTATAGAAAATACTGTTATCTCTACATATAATAAAAGAAAGGGTCTGTGTACCTTTTGTTCGTGCTGTGCGTAAGTTAATAGACCCAGGGCTACGAAATTTGGTATATACATGCATCTAGACAAGAGCCAGTGTACCTCGAAGAGAGTTTTTCAAAATTCGAATCAGTTTTTTTTATTTTATCTTTTCGATTTTATCGCATCCTTTTGAATAGTTCCATTCTTTTAGAAATGTGGTTTTGGCAACAGTTTTTCATTTAATTGTATACTGGCCCGCTGAATGTTGAAAATCAGCAGTGTTGCCAATAATAAAGGAATTTACAATAAATGAATAGAAAACTACAACGTATTTTTAAGAATTCAATCAGTTACTGGTATTTTATCAATAAGTAGAACCACGAGAAGGCCAAAATTTATGTTATTTTTAAACTGAATACAATAAAATAAATTTGAACGCATCAAAACTCTGTTGAAGTACAGCTAGTTGAAGATAGTATTAATGCTGTTGGTTACTTTTCTAAGTATGAATCTAATTATACTCACAATATAGTATTTGAGCAAATTTAAAGTATTTACTAAGCAGTAAATTCTACATAATGAATCATAAATCATATCGGTTTTATATCGAAGGTGTAAACAGCCTCATTAAGACATTTTCATCCTGTTTCAACATAGGGCTTCAAAACCAAAGTTGAGCCATAGTTTTAAAAGCTACTTATCTTTCAAATTACGGGTATCCAACCTAATGCTCTCAGGAGTTAATACCTAACGTTAAAATGAACGGAAGAGTAAGTGCATGAGATGTTGAATATTTAAACGAGAAATGTGTGAAATCATCAGGTTATATCGATGCAGGAACGTGAAAAGTCTGCGAAGCCCTAGCCGAGATTTGAATTCCTGAGTACGCGCCGAGCGTGCTTCCAATTACATCAACGATGGCATGTGGAAAGGAGGGAGAAAATGCTTTATGTACGCCACCTTTTAAAAGGCGATTGGGATTAGGGAAACTATTTGCCAAATCCTGGTGATGGCGAATTATCATCGACCAACATTTAGTTCGGGAGCCACTTGCAGAGTCGTTTTAGAATTTTTCAAAAGCAATAAATCCGAAATTCCCTCACCGGAATTCGATCTCCGGTCGTGCCGAGTGCGTTTCGAGAGTGCTTCTAGTTACACTACCAAGGCATGTGGAAAGGATGGAGATATAAACATTATATATGATTGTACCTTATAAACAAATACATTCTTTTGAAAAAAAAAAAAAAAAATCGAAGCACCAAGAAGGACTTTTGCGATCGTGACGAAATGTGGTATGCAAAAACATCTTGATCGAACATACAAATGAGTGTCAAGTAAAGTTTCAAGGCGAATGAACAGGAATTGCGATCATAACGCGCATTTCTAGTGCGCAGTTCGAAAAGTATAAAACCAGTAAATGACGCGCAAAATTTATCCATTTTTGTTGCTGCCATTGTAATTCCGTAAAGAAGCAACTAAAGATGACATTACAACGATATCGAAAACCTTACAGACAACTAAACGACTTCGAACGTGGTCGCATTGTAGGGTTGCGTGAAGCTGGGTGTTCATAGCGAGCAATAGGCCGCAACCTGCAGCGGACAGACACAGCTGTGCAAAGATGTTAGCAGCAGTGGTTGCTACAAGGAAACTGCCGACGAAATGAAGGCTATGAAAGGCAAAGGAGCACAAATGCGAGGCAAGATAGGATGACTGCCTTTGACCTCACAACATCGGCGGAGACATCCGGAGTAGTGTCGCCGCCGACCATCATGGCTGCCATCATGTTCAGCGATGAATCCCGCTTCATTCTTGTAGCAGATGACCACCGTGTTCGTGTCTGGAGAGGATGGGGCCAGCGGTACCAATCAGCCTTTGTTTTATAAAGGCATACAGCCATAACCCCTAGTGTAATGGGCCTGCGGGCCATTTGCATTACCCTTCATGGTACGTCATCCTGGGGCCATTTTCCAACAAGATATGCCAAGCCACATACCGCTTGCATATCTCTGAACTGTCTCCGTGTGGCTGATACTTGGCCAGCAAGGTCACCAGAACTTTCACAAATCGAACATGTCTGGGACATGTAGGCCGCCAGATTCGGGCACCACAAAATATCGCAGATTTGGCGCGACAACTGATGAATGCCTGGCAGAATGTGTCGCAGGATGACATTAGGAACCTCTACCACTCCTTGCTTCGACGAATTCAAGCATGCATTGCTACCAGGCGCGGTTCGACCAGCTACTAATTTGAACGCTCAATGGGTGATTGTGAGCCGTGAACAAGTACCTTGATTTTTTAATCATTTTATTATCTGTGTATGAGCTATACACATACTAAATTTCATCAAAAACAACGACTTCCTTCATGGTGCTTCGATTTTTTTGCAAAAGAGTGTATATTACTTTACGAATATTGAATTATGTTTGATTCTTCAGTCATACTGTTTTGGTTTGGCTTCAACTGCGTCTTTTAAACTGACGTTAAGAGCGGGACATGGGGAAAAAATCAAGGAATTTAATAAATTTCTTTCACCATACCTTTCACATATCTTGTTAGAATACCCATGGAACATAAGACATTTACTCCAATATATCAGATTTGGAGATAAGATTCTATTAATTTCAAGAAATATTTCGCATATACACTCATGTCCATAAATTAAAGATAATGCAAAATCAGGCAAAGGAAGAGTTAGAAGCAAAACAAATTTGACTTGTTTGTAAAGCTTATTTATTAAACAAAAGGTAAAGAGCAAAAAAAGATGCTATATGTTTGATATTATTTAAAAAAATAGCGATTGTTTCTTCCTGGAGCAAATTAAAAAAAACCTATTTACAAAAAAAAAAAAAAAAAAAAACAATATTACATTGTATGTCTCCCAGACGACACAATACAGTCCGTACAACGCCTAGGCATGCTGAGTATCAAATTACCGATCTGATCTTGGGGGATATTACACCACTCAAAAAGCAATGCTCTCCGAAGTTCCGGTAGACATGTAGGAGGAGGTTGACCGGCTGCAACTCGTCGGCCACGCATGTCCCACACCTGCAGTACTGGATTCAAGTCCGGTGAGAATGCTGGCCAGTCCATACGGGTGATATCCTCCGATTGAAGGCATTCGCTTACGATTTTTGCTCGGTGAGGTCGGGCGTTGTGATTCATGAACACAAATTGTGCGCCCATGGTGTCCCGAAACAAACGCACATGTTATTCCAGAATGACGTCCCGATAGATTTGGCTTGTCATGGTTCCAATTTGAACATGCAAGTCCGTTCTGGAACCTAGAATAATTCCACCCCAAACGAGCACTCCTGCACCACCGTAACGGTATCGTTCAATGATGTTTTCTTGGTGGTAACGGGTACCTGGAGCTCTCCAGCTTCAGTCATATAGCTCCATATGACTGAAGAATCAGACTGCAAGCTAAACCTGAACTCGTCGGACAACATCACACAAGCCCACTGTTGCGGTGTCCACAATGCAGGGTCTCTACTCCAGGCTAACCGCAGGCGACAGTGAGTTGCAGTAAGTGGAACGCATATGACAGGTCTGCGAGCATATAGACCAATCTGCCTTAAGCGTCTGTACACGGTCTGCCTTGAAATTGTCTTACCAGTGGCTGAAGAGAGCTGGCGAGAGAGGTTTGAGGCTGTGCTCCGCCTGTTTCTTTTGGCAGTAACTGCCAAATACCGGTCCTCATTCGACGTTGTAACTCTGGGGCGACCTGTGCTGTAACGTCTACTCACATTACCATCATCTTGGAATCGTTGCCAAAGCCTGGAGATGACACTCTTGGCAATTCCAAGTTCGTCTGATACTTCCAGTTGGGTACGCCCACATTCCAGACGGCCGATAATTCTACCACGTAAAAAGTCAGCCAAATGCGTCCTTTGTGTCATAACTATTCGGTTATTGCACTGAAATTCTTATAAAGCGCGTGCGAACAATTTTACTACTTTGCTTGTATTCCTTATATATCACTCTCTTACACTCTCATCAATGTGACGTACCATCGGTGTCATCTGGTTACTTCCTGAAATTTGCATATGATTCTTGAAGATGTGTGTAGTGATTGTACAGGTGATATATTTATTTTAGAGTTCGATTTCCGCGTGACTCCGAATTATCCTTAATTTATGGACATGAGTGTATATGAGATAAAAGAGTCACTAATATCTTGAGTGAGGACTTTATTTATTTACATTCAAAGCATCGCAAGTTTTAAGGACTTTAGTTTAAATATTTCCTTGCATAAAGCTACAGTTTATCTTATTGTTACGAGCTTCAAGAACTACGGCTTGAAGATAATACAACAAGACAAAGATAATAAAATCTGATGATAATAGTGTAAGCTATTAGTTTATTTGGAAGGAGGAGATATAAAAAATGAGCAATGCCCTTCCCAGGACTCGAACCGGGGACCTCTCGAATACGCGTCGAGTATACTTCCAATTACACCACGAAGACAATCGAGAAGAAGGGAGAAAATACCTTATTTAAACCCCCTTTTAAAGAGCGAGTGGGGATGAGGGGACCCAACCGACAAATCCTGGTGGTAACGAATTATCGACCACTGACGCCATTTATAGAATCATTAGGTTTTTAATGCTGGTGACGTGAAAATGCGCAGTGCCCTCGCTGGACTCGAAACCTGAACATCGCGAATACGCATCTCGAATATTGATTTTTTTTTTCATTTTTTTACAAACTATGATAATATTTATTTTCAGAACTTGGAAAGTATATTCGATCTGAGGAAGAATGCTGTAGTCTGCTAAATGTCTTAGACGATGGCTCAATCCAAGAAACGAGTTGCGGAAGTGATGACTCACCCTCATCTGCAGTATGCTTATGGGATCATAAAGGTAAATAATTATTAATTCCCCGATTTAACTGTTTTCGAACTTATAGCCAGCATTTTTGCATTTCGTAAATTTTGATCAAATTACTTTTAATTTCTGAAACTTTGCATTTATGAAACTTATGAAAAAGAAAATAGCCAGCTCAAAAAAAGGAATAGTTGTAATGGAAGGGACAAAAATTGCAATGTACGTATTTTTAACAAATCATTTATTTTACAGATGACAGAAACAAAACAGGAAGTAAAATTTCAAAAAATAAAAGAAAGAAGTTTAAGAATGCATCACGTGCCTTTCATATAAGAAGGATATATTGAATTTAAATAATAACTTAATAATAAATTCGTAAAATATTAGACACAAACTAAGCACATAAATAAAACACAGTTCCTAGTCTTGGCAAAAAATGATTTCAATGTTATATAAGAAATAATACACCTTTGAATTCGAAACATTTGAGTTAAACGTCTATCATTAAACACGTATTTTTTATTTGCTTGAAGTGTTACTCGTGATATGAAGTCCATGATCAATCAGAGAATATTTCATCTTCTACACCTTCCCTGTTCACTCTGAACATCTTGCTCCATTCAAAAGATTTTTATTATGATAGAGTACTTTCTGTATTATTCTTACAGACTTTCTGTAGCATTTAAAATGCTTCTGTAGAAGCGTAAAATCAAAATTTAATGCTCAGTTTATAGAGTCATTAGGTCAGTTGGAAGCAGAAAAGACGAAAAATATGCAACCACCTTCGCCGGGAATCGAACCACGGACCTCTGGAATACCGGCCTAGAGTGCTACCCTTACACCCCGAAGGCACGCTAGGGAAGGGGGGGAAATACCTTATATACTCCCCTTTTTAAAGGGCGACTAGGGTTTTAGGGGACCTAGTCGGCAAATCCTGGGTGCGGAGAATCATCATCCACAGCCCTTTTAGTTCGGGCGCCACTTGTAGAGACATTAGGTTACTTGGAAGCAGAAAAGATGAAAAATGTGCAACCGCCTTCGCCGGGAATCGAACCACAGACCTCTGGAATACCAGGCCAGCGTGCTACCGTTACACCACGAAGGCAAGCTAGCTAGGGAAGTGGGAGAAATACCTTATAAGTTTAAATCCGCTAAATCTTTGCTCAGTTTCATTCGTCATTTTGGGAAATCATCAAACCAAAAATTATTTATTAATTAAATATAAATTTATTTAGTTGCAAGGAGGAACTGTAACATGGATTATTGCCAAAAATGGATGAAATTCATGGTAACTTCTAAAACGCTGCGTAAGAGATTACTTTGCAAGTATATATTTCAAATGAATTACTCCCAAAACTTGTTTTTATCGCAGAAGTATATTTTTCCCCCCGCTGAATTACTGGTTCACACTTTTCTTTCACACTAATGGAGTGATTAATCGGAATGATCCTTTTTTGTTATAACTGTTTAAAAAATATGTTCAAAACTCCATCTGGAGGTAAGTCCTTTCAGGATATCTTATTCGCATTCAAGTTAATTATGACGTATTTCTAAAGTTCAAATTGATCTAGGAAATCATAGCAAATTAAAATTTGATAGTTATAAATGGAATCCAAAATACATCTAATAGTTTCTGAAGTATCAGAAAATTATTTTAATCAGGGTCATCAATGCAGATATTCAGTCATTAGTGCAATAATATTTTTCCGCGAAAAGTATTCAATATACATACTTACGGATTACTAGGTGACTTTTGTATTTGAAATTGTCAGCCCAAGTCAAGTGGTTTAATTATAGTTTTCAGCTGTTTTTAACCCTGTTTATTTCACAAATTATTTTTGCTTTTTTTTTTATCCATTTTGCTTATACACTGCTAGCCATTAAAATTGCTACACCAGAAGAAAAGCAAATAGAAGAACCTTATTTATTGTTCGTATACAGTATGATGGGAGGAAGACATTAAGTTTTCTCGTGGTTTGAGGTACACAGCTTGCAGAATTCAGTGTAAAGAGCTGTCACCTGGCAGCAGCAACAGTTGAGTATCGAATCGAACTGACTTGATAATCTTAGACATTGGACCTAAGTTCCTAACTCAGGATGTGGCTGTGTAATCCCGTAAAGCCGACAGGACAACATTTCCGCCCACTTGGGCAATATATCTGTCCTCTCGGGTTTGAAAGGCCCGAAGCTGCTGAGATCCTGCAGGTTGTTAGAATGATCCTTCTGCACCCATCGATTTCATATTCGCATGAAGGTTATGAGATTCCATCCAATACGAACAGCAATGTCTCAGAACGATAACCGCAGGCCTGATAGACCGCGATCATTCTATCATCGAATTTCTTACACTACTAGGTAAGATAATTTCCTTCTCACACGCGGCATAACCTATATACGAATAACCAACGTTCAAATGCGATTTCCAAATCAAAAATCGAATATTTTGATACTTTTGTTTTTGTTGGCTTCAGCATGAAATGTATCATGCTATTTCCGGAACTTCAAAAATCCCAGGGTAGGGTTGCCACAATACTAAGCCATGAGAAACTTTCCAGTAGGAAAGTCCGAAAATTAAAAACAAAAGAAGACCCTAGTCTCGGGAGTGCCAGGAATTTGGCAGTCAAATAAAGTTTGGTAAACTTGAAATACAAGTAAAGTTTGGTAAACTTGAAATACAAGCAAAGTTTGGTAAAAGCCTCACGTGATTTGGATAGATGAATCAGGAATATTGTGTGATCATATGGTGCGAATCTTCCAGAGCGGATCGGTAAGAAGTCGGAAAATGTTCGATTGTAGCACTACGACAAGTTCAGGCATCAGATAAAAGTGGGATGAACGCAGAGCAGAATATAAAATTGGGAGATGAAGTGAATGTGAAAAACAAGAGTAAGTTGGAGAGAATTAGCTGTTCTGAGAAGTAGTACTGAGAACATGAGTAATGTATGGACGCAGATTAATTTCCATTTCAATCAGTTCGTATTTAAAATTATCTGGATAAGTAACATCTTCGTTGTTAATTGCCTTGGCTTAAAAATTGCTGTTAAACTTGTTGTAAAGGTGATAATGCCAACCAGTTTGAAGTCTCTATGTAACTGATTATTTCTGATAAATCAGGGAGCTCCTGTGATTCTACGTGGAAAGTTGTTTTGAAAGGTTTGCAGTTTACTGAGATCAGATCTAGAGGCAGAAATCCAAGCTGGCGAGGCATATGTTAGAATGGGCCGTAAGAGAGATGTGTATATACTCTTTTTCGGTGCAAGTTCTAATGTAGAGGAAGGTTCAAGCAGACATTTAAGTTTTCTAGAGACACCAATGACAATAGAAATATTCACATTCCATGTAAGGATGGTGTGGAAGCGTACCTCTAATCTAGGGGTATTTTGTAACTTTAGGCATCGCTTCCCTAAACAGCGTAAGATTCTTGTACACATTTTTGCGTTTATGTCGACAAATGAGGAGATACTTTGAGGCGTTGATGCTTGTACTGCAATGGCAACACCAGTTCTCTGTCTCATGCACCAAGTCCTGAGAAATCCGCTGTATAATCTTCCTATTTATACTCAGTGTAGAAGACATTATTTACACCTGCTTTGCGCGCTTTGGAATCCTAGTCAATTGAATATCCCAACATGCAAGTACCTTTCATGCAAATTTGAGATTTGTTACATGCCGCCTTCGTGGTATAACGATTTTAATGGCCATCAGAAGAGATGGCTTCATATTTCCTCGCATTCTGAGCAATTCGTTTAAAAAATGTGCGCATAATAACTTGTTTTCGATAAGGTTAAAATTGTCTTTATAGTAGACGCACGTCACTGAGTTATGCGAATGATGTCAAATGCGCAGCTCTCCGACGCACCTGAAGTAAGATATAAGGGAAGGAAAGTGCAGAAGGGGCAATATTCGTGTCGTTATTTCTGCCAGACGAATTATCGAAGAAAGTCGGTTTTTGTCACGGAGGATACGTGTAATAATTGATAAGTGACGGAGGACGCGAGCACCAACCCTCTACCATAGAGGTTAATTGGTATAGCGCCGCGTCCCCCTTGCCTAGAGCACCGCAAGAGTGATGGTATGGGGAAAGATACGTGTAATAGGAGAGAATGCCAGGCCGCCGTCAACGAAGCCACTTCCAGCAGATAAAGGATGTTACGAGGGGTATGGTGATTGGACTGAGAAGGGCGGGTTGGTCCTTACGTCAAATCGCAGCTGATACCCACATCGATGCGAGCACGGTGCATCGGCTATGGCGAACATGGTTGGAACAAGGAAATGTGGGAAGAAGGAGAGGTGCTGGTGCAGCCAGAGTGACGTCAGCACGCGGGGATCGACGCATCCGCCGACAAGCTGTGGCGGTCATTTGTACCGCGATTCTGCAGCATGTGCAAGATACCCTGGATGTTCCCGTGTCGACCAGAACCATTTCCCGTCGATTGGTTGAACGTCGCCTGCACTCACGGCGTCCGTTAAGAAGACTGCCATTGACCCCACAGCATAGACACCAACATTTAGAATGGTGCCGGACTGGAGCGATGTGGATGACAGAATGGCGAAATGTCGTAGCCTCAGATGAGTCACGCTTCTGTTTATCTAGTGACAGTCGCCGCATACGTTTGTGGCGTCGACGTGGAGACAGATCTAATCCGGCAGTAACTGTGGAACACCCCCACCGCACGACAACGTGACATAATGGTTTGTGGCGTTATTGTCTACTATTCCAGGTCACCTCTAGTTCATGTTCAGGGCACTATGACGGCCCAACGATACTTGGATAATGTACTGCGGCCGGTGGCAATCCCCTACCTTCAGGGGCTGCGTAATGCAATTTTCAGCAGGATAACGCCCGACCACACATTGCTCGCATCTGCCAAAATGCTCTGCAAGGTATACAGATGCTTCCTTGGGCAGCGTACTCTATGACCCGTCACCAATCGAACTTGTGTGGGATGTGATTGGACGGCGTTTGCAGACTCTGTCCCTGCCTCGTTCAGAAGTCGAACTGTGGCAAATGGTTGAAAGGGAATGGAGAGCCATCC